GCGCAGCCACTTACCCCCCAATCATCGGTGAACGAAACTGTGGCAGCTACAACCAGTGTACGACCAGTACGCGGTTATTACAGCTGATAATGATGATGATGACTAGGGTGCCTTGATTGTTGATCCGTCATGCATACAAATCGGAGGGAAGTTATCTGTGTGCACATAGTCTACTGCGCAGTGGTGATATCTCTCGACTGGTTACTAGGGTGGCTTGATTGTTGATCCGTCATGCATACAAATCGGAGGGAAGTTATCTGTGTGCACATAGTCTACTGCGCAGTGGTGATATCTCCTCGACTGGTTAACTGCCAACCTCGGCGAACACATCAACTGATCACACATCTGATCATCCATCAGTAATTCAGGCTGAAAAATGCTGAGCGACGCATCACCGATACAAAGTTTATTCTGATTTAGCCTGTTTTTGTTTCTACCGCTTTCAGCCTTCTCCCTCTATTCCAACCCTATTTTCTTTGTGTGCACTCAGATATTTTCACTGCACTACGACAAAACCCATCTGTTTGGCATCGTGAAACGCTACTGCCTTGTCGAAAGCAAACCGATCAGAGAGCAGCTTCGGTCCCGTCCACAAACGCCCAAAATGCTTGAGCGCGTAGTTCAGTTGCATACGTGGCAGTCTCAGCCAGATCAAGGCGACTGGACCACTTTGGTGGTTGTCGCCATATTCGCCAGCGGAGCAATCACGGTAAGGCGGAGAAATTTTTTTCGTTTCACTGACGTCCTTTTCACATCCTGTGTGACAGTTGAATTTTCATGCACGTCGGGAGGCCTTACCGTCAGATAATGACTGCAATTTGTCCCCTGTAAATATTGTGTGAACTGCAGTCCAAATTGCATGGTTTGTTGACCCGTATCTCTGCTTTGTTCCGTTGGATTTAGTTTTGGCACATACCTCGCACTACGCATGAACTATCCAGCTGCGACAGTGGTTGTCAGGATATTGCTCCAAGCGGTTCGTGGCCGCCAATGCATGGAATTGATGTGGCTGAGGTTGGTCCAACACGCAGACTCTCCCAGGCCGAGGTGTATTCCCGGGTGGTTTGTGATACGGATACAACAGAACTCCCGGTCCCAGTCACTTGGTCCACCCTGCGCCGCATTCCTCACCTGTGTACCACAGACTCCCAATCTAAAGGTCCACAACAGTCCCCTCGGCGTGTGCGACACATTCTTGCTTGGCTCACAGCCGGTCATGATGGCATGGTTTATGGGCGTCAGGTTATTCTCCCGGACCAGGATTCGCCCGGTCCGGCCATTCCCGAAGAAGGCAAACGCCCGAATCGAGATTTTCCACCGTGGTGTCTGAATTTGGAGGCCCATCGGTCTTGGACCATCACAGATGCTGATGTCGATCCCTCCGGACGTTGGCTGGTTACATCTTCAACAGACAAAACAGCTAAAGTGAGTAATAAACTTCAGTTGAATGAGTTGCCTAATGAGTATAGGCACACTCAATAGCTTTCTTGTACTTCTTCGTTCGTGAACCAATTTACGGCAGAATCATCTTGGGTTTTAATAAACAAGGCATGCATGATAAAGTAACCAGGTGTCTCATGATTTTGGTCCATAGTATGTGATCGGAATACTCTGACAACCATTCTGTTCTTGGAGAAAACATGTTCAGTAAATCTCATTACCTCAGTTGCAATCCACCATATTGCTAATCTGCATTCGACGGCTTCATTTCAGGTTTGGTCTCTGACTACCGGAAAACCAGTGTTTGAAACTGCCAAACATCCGGCTTGTGTTCGTACCGTGTGTTTCCGTCCGGTAATCGACGCGCCAGTGGATTCTTCTGATGCTGAATGGTTTATCGCGACAGGAGACGATGCGGGTGCCTTGCGTATTTGGTGTCTCAAGTCCCATGTGTAAGTTTTGTTTCGAAATAGGCATACTTATCGTGTGAAGATAAAGCTCTTGAGCACTAGCTGCTCCAGATCCACTGGCGCTGAGACTTTCTCGTGTTCTAAACGTCCTCGTCCACAGTCTGATAGGTAGTGAAGGGATTTTCCTAGCTTTAGTGTATCATCTGCTACCCAGATCCCCCCACTAACATAAAAGCTTTTTAATCATCACTTTGATGGTTGACACTGAATTCAGTGGCAGCTTAGGGTGTTTTCTCACCGTCTACCGTTTTGGTTTTTGAAATCTATATGAGTAGTAGTAGCATTTCCAAATTTACCAGGTTTGGTTTGTGCCCTTTTTGTTGTATGCGCGCTAGAGGTCAAGTCGCATTTGCTGTCCCCTCAAACTCTCTTATTGGTGATTTTGCAGAACTGTGCTGTGTGTGTGGCCAGGAAGACATCTTGGCCTCCAGTCAGCATAATGCGCAAAGTAATTCTGAACTCACTGTTTGCCCGAGTGTGTTCATTTTTGCAGATTGTAAGCTTTTTTCTCAGAAACGCCTTCAAAACCACGCGCAAACGGCTAATGGAGTCAAAAACAACAAAGCTTCACTGCCAAATTCTTGAAGAAAATGATTTGGAACGGATGCAGAATAATTGTTTGGTCACTTTTTCTATTAGCCCCTACTGTCTTTGACCCAGCACAGGGTCTAGGTTCCCAAAACAAGCACTACACCAATAACGATTACAAACTAATCTATCGGGTCCATGGAATGAAGTCTCGACGAAAGCAGTGAGCAGTCGAGGACACTCGTAAAGCGTAGTGAGTGATGTCGAAGCGCTTCACGTTTAGTGATAGTCGTTGGCAATTGCACGTTTCTCTGTTAGAATATACCTGGGGAAATTTAGAGATTTGCAATTTTTTACACTGCCTTTGTTGTAACTGTATTTTCCTCAGCTTAGTTCTCGGTCTGAGCCTCCCAAGCTAGCGTTCACGTCAAAACAAACACCAAAGGTGCACAAAGGTCTATTAACGCCCAAAACGAAATCAGGAACAGTTGTACAGCGCTTCG